TTTGGGTTTAAGAGTCTTGGCCAATTAATGTTGGTCTTAAATCGTAACAGGCTTCGTATATTTGTTAAGTTAGATGGGATGAATCGAGTATTTTAAAGGTTTAAGACATAAGCTGTACATTTGTTGATAGGTTTATGACTTTATCACAATATATATAAGCAAGATAACATAGATTACACATATTATTCAACAAATTTGAATATCACACTGTTATTTTATCGAATAACACACGGTTTATATAATATTACTTTACTTATTTAGCTTATACGTAAAACAACACAAAAAAAAAACAATAATACACTGAGGAATCACTTATTATGGTTTTACCACAGCATTTTGTTTGGCTAATTTAATTTGCTTCAAAATTTGGTAATCTAACAAATGAACCCAACTACGTTAGTATTATATAGACTACACATTAAGCTAGTCGAGACATTAAAAGGTTTAACATATGGAAAGTGAGTGCATCGCAATCAAATAAAAGAAAGAATAAAATATAGAAAAAGTTAGTTGGTGGTGGTGGTGTAAAATCCGATATCAGACTGCTGCAACTTCTTTATGGCCTCTCGGAATTTAAGGTTTTCAGATTGCATTTTTAATTAAAAATAATAATAATTAAAATTTTAACTATCATAACATGAATTGAGAGGTGAAGTGCCAATTAATTGTTGGTATTAAAAACACCTTACCGATCTTGCATTAAAAGTCATTCAAATCCCAAGACCAGTCTCCTCGCCACCATTAATAAATATGTACATGTCCAATTCAATTCCTACTACTATTATTATATGGGTCTCCCTATTTACATTTAGGGCTAGCCGTCTAGTTAGGACTAGAGTAAACTCTCGTATATTGATTTCTGCTATGGAAAAAAAAATTGGACTAAATGAATTTCTACTATTTAGTAGTATTTGGTAATATGCTTTCTGTATTACATAAAAACAAAATTATTTTTTCTTTCCAACAACTCCAAATTTTAACCTTATGATTTTCGTGGAGACATATTTTACTATATATGAAGATCGTAAGCACTAAATACAAATATTTATGTGTAGCAAGTAGTGTATATTGAAAATATCAAACGCCTAGTGTGCATATATATATTTATAAGGAAATACTGATAATGCTAGAATTAATAAAAAGGAAAGGTACGTGCATGTAATTTGAAAAGCTATGTTGTGTGTATGTTGAAAATTAAAAGTGCTTTGAAATTGTGCTGCCGTGCTGGTGTCGTGAGAATATCATCGTCCGTGAACATCATCACTACCTTTTTACTTGTAGTAGTATTAACGAAAAAATAGAATGAAAAGAAAATTAGATTTTTATTAATCATAACGTTTTCAACGTTATTTATTTAAAGCTCGTAAATGCATATTTTCCTTTTCTTCCTAGAAACTCCATTTAACTCTACTTGTCCCACCGATATATAATCGTAAAGCCATTAATTATGATTCACTTGTGCATTTGGTTGTAGTCGCAGAGAGTAATTAGCACTTGGATTTCAGTTTTTTCTTCTTTTATCATCAAGCATCAATGGCAAAGTAAAGAGAGACCCTATGTGTTGCTTCTACCAATGTAATGAAGGACCGTCATTAATTCAGTTTGCTTGCTGGAGCACATTCTCCGGTAACTAAAAAAAGAAGAAAAAACGCAAATATTGATGATACTAGCTAGTTTAATAACATTACTAGATAGTAGATAGCTAGTACTTAAAGGAGTACTTTATCAATCTCCCCATATGGAATCCAAAAAGATACGTAAAAAAAAAAAAAACGGTGAGATGATAGAGATATTAGGATTAAAATATTCAAAAAGTTGGATGATTAATTTGGATTAGTTGGATGAACAGAAAAGTTCGTTGCCACCTCCGACGGCTAACCATATGTCATCGTACATATATGGGCACGATCTCTTGCAATAATCTAACTTTGCTCTTTCAGTTTGAATATTAATATATTACTACTACTAGTTTGTAGTTTGTCTTAATATCATTACGTTTTCAATTTCATAGAATAGATTTCACACCTTTTCATAAAAGAGTATGAATTAATATGATTATGATTTAAATTAAATGAAAAGAGCTTTTAATAAATTAACAAAATAGTTTAAAAGATCGTATAAAAAATTTAAAACGACAATTTTCAAAAATTAAAAATATAAACTCTATGACGACATTTTTTAGAAAATAAATAAAATTTCAAATTTCAAATTATATCCGTTTAATATCGACAAAATAACATAATCGATAACTTTTTGGTTTCTGCAAAAGACACTTCAACAATATAAAATTTTATTTTATAACGTCTGGTAACAGTTACTACATTTAATATATTTTTAAAAAAATTTAACGTATATATAGATTTCCTTAATTTAAAAAGAATTAGTCACTTTTCACAAAAACAAATGATAGCTTTATCAAAAAAGAATCATTGTTTTAACAACTGAATTCACCAAAAAAATCGAATATACAGTATATACTATATAGGTATGCAACAGCAACAACAGAAAGAATATAGGTAGGCAGAAAGAATAGAAGGTTGATATTATCATCAGGGACTAAATGAGTATATTAGAGATAAATCTGATTTGAACGTTTGGTACTTATAATAAAAGAAGATTTGGAGAAGTCAAGAGATATATAATTAGAGGCTATATATAGAGATTGGGCATGATGATGAATTATGTATGACTCATTAAACTAATGATGGCTTACTCTAAATTACCACATTCGTACCAATACCTACTTCATTTAAAAATATCTTTGACGTGCCCAATACCAAATAAAAGAAGAAGAAGACGAAGTACCGCTGCATTAAATACGTAAGTCAATCAATGCGTAATTAATTGGAAGTTTGAAAGTATAAAACGTTTTTGATTAATTATACATGAATATGAAAACATGATTACAAGTGTACGTAGAGGAGTAGCTTAGTATACAATTTAATGTATGATGAATACTACAATGAATATGAAGCTGATGTAGTTTCTATGCATTTAATGCGCTTTCTTCATTTTTTCTTGCTTCGGCATTTATTACACTTTTTGTGTCTGCTTCCTCGTTGAATTCCTCCCTCCACACACACACTTCTCTTGGCCCTTTTGTTTTGTTTCGCTCTTTCATTTGTTTATACTTTATACATACACTCTCTTATTTATTCATTCATTGATACTTCTTCTTTATTAGTTGGCAAAATAAAGTTCTTCTATCTATCTTTACCAAAGAAGTTGTTTTTCAAAGTTTGGTACATCGCTAGATGAGAAAAGAGATCAAAGACTTTTAAACTAGTAGTGTAAAGTACTGAATCATAGAACCTTGAAATGGCCAACAGCAATATAACATTATGTTGGGTTTAATGGTTTTTCTTGCCAACTTTATTCACGAATGAAATGATTCTACAATTGTGAATTATTTTTTTTTTTCATACAGAATGCAATGTGTAGAATACAAAAGTTACTATGGTAGTATAACATTAAGTAATATTTGCATGCAAAATCAAAATATTAAAAGTACTTACGACTGTATCATAGTATGTTGTATATGATAATAAATCAAATAAATCAATTGGCTGGACTTATAAATAAAAAGTTACTATGACTACTATAACCGTCGTCTCTCATTTAACACACACACACATAATAAGACTCTTTTTTTGTTTCTTAACAATTTGGCCCCATCTATATAAACTCTTTCTCTCTGCCGAACCACAGAGACCCCATCACTGACCTTCCTCTCTCTCTCTCGGTTTTGCTTTTCTCTCCATCTCTCTCTCTGCTTTTCTCGTATGGCTGCTGACGTGAGCTCTCTCTTACGGATACTGAGTAGCTACAAAGACGATCGGACGGTGGCAAAAGATTCCGCCGGATCAAGATCGACGGTTGCGCTTATGACACGCGATCTCCTCGGAGGCAGCGGCTGTGTGGGTGGAGGAGGAGACGATAAGTCCCTGGAGCTTGACCTTGACGTCCAAGTCCCTACCGGTTGGGAAAAACGTCTCGACTTAAAGGTTCTTCTCTCTTTTTTTGTCTCTTTCTCTTCCTTAATTTTTCGTTTTCCCGAGAAAATCTTGAAAAAGAAAGAAACAGAGTGCTCTGTTTCGAAGATTAAAAAAAAAACGGATTTTTCAGTTGGGTTTATAAACCATTGAATGATAATTTATTGATTCTTTGTGATTGATTTTTTCTCAACAGTCAGGGAAAATTTATGTGCAACAATGCAATCCAACAAGCTCGGCTTCATCGACTCATCATCATCACCAAACAGTTCCGAGGTTTCAAGATTTAAATTTTCCGCCGATTCCGGGTAAATCTCCGGCGAAACCATTGTTAAGCCTCTTCGACGAGGACGACGACGCAAGCCTCGAACTGAAGCTAGTCCCCTCCTCTCTCTCTCCTCCTCCTTCGTCTTCTTCTCCGTCGCTGTCGTATCTATCGAGTGTTTGCACACTGGACAAAGTGAAATCGGCTTTGGAGAGGGCGGAGAAAGACATAACAAAGAAACGCCAATCGCCAGAGGAAAACAGCGTTTGCGATCAAACCGCGGAGACGTCACAGGTGGCGGCTGGGTGTCCAGAGTGCTTATCGTACGTTTTCGTGGCCAAGAACAATCCGAAATGCCCGAGGTGTCATTCGTTTGTTCCTTTGCCTGCCTTGAAGAAGCCTAAGATTGATCTCAACATCTCCATCTGAATACTCAAACTTGCGACATTATTGAATGGTTCTTATGTTGTAGGTTCGATTTCTGTAAATGAGAATAGATAAAATCAGGGGTTTCATTGGAAAGAAATTGAATGCGAAAATAGGATGATGTGGGTGTTTTTTTTTTTTTTTTTTTTTTTTTGTATATTGTTGTTCTTAATTGGAATTTCTGATAAATAGTTTATCTTATTTTATAAAAAGTCAATCTAAAGTCTAAAGTAAAGAAGTAACCAAAATTTGTAGTATTATTATTATTTGGTCAATATCTTTCATTAAATTTAACTGTACTCCTAATTATTCCGCGTCTTAAATAACACAAGTGTTTTTTTCTCAATTTGTCTAAGTGGGTAACTTAAAGTCACGGGTTAGTTCGAAGTTAGTTGAAGAAATTTGTAAGTTACTTAATTTAGTAGAAGTCACTTATTTAAAATACCATACGAGATGACAAGTTTATCATTGTTTGTATTTTAATTCTTTACTATGATAATGATATATAAGGGTGAGGTGAATATAAAAGAATAAGCTTATTATTATTATTATTAGTTTATATATTACACCATAAGTTACATGATGTAATAAGTACTTATTAATTGGTTAAGATGTTTTGTTCCTAATTACTATGAAGTGGAGAATGACGCATTCACCGCAGGCATAGAGTGTTGTGATACATAAAAATAAAAGTTACTATAAGAAACCGACGAATAAATGTGAGTTTTAAGTGTAGTGGAAACATTACTTAATTAGAGTCATTCAAGTTTCGCTGACCTTTAACTTCACTTTCCACAGGGCAACGCTGCATGCTCTTCATCATCAGTTCATGCATACATACGCATATACAAGCATTTATTATCCGTCCGTTTTCCTTTGTAACGGGTTTCAAGTTTTATTTGTTGTTTTTTTTTTTTATAAAATTAATTGCATAAGACTAAACAAAATACTACTCCGAATATGTTCTAGACATAATAATTTCATTGAAAAAAGTAATCTTCTCAAAAACAGATTTATTGATAAAATTATCATAAGAAATTACAATCATATATAGTAGATGTATACATTAATTAATTTATTTGGGTAGGACCTAAATTAAATTAAATATCTCGTAGAATAACTTTTTGTTTTTCATTTAAAAACATTCCTGATGGAGGACGGTATGCAATACGCTTTGGTTGGTATTTGTCTTTATCATATTATTAAATTGAAAGCTCTAGTGTATTTATGAGTCGACTGTTACAAAATTTTAGTTGAAGACATTAAAAACTATTTATTCATGATTTTATATTACAACAATATTTGGACATAAATAAACATTAAAAACTAAAGATAATTGACAACCAAGTCTCATAGTGTACATTATTAACTCTATAATCTATGTCCAAAAAAGATTAATGGTTAAACTGCATGAATTCATCATTACTTAGGGTTTTATGAATAACATGTATATATATAAAAGATAGCTAAACGTAAACGATTCTTATGAATTATATACTGATTTGATAACTAATACCCATGTATTTTTATTTTTTAATTGTTAACTTCTGCATAGATGGGCATAAATTATAGAGAAAGTCATGCTAGTGAAAACAAAATGAGTTTTAATTGGATGGCGACCTTTACTAATAAATACCAATTAATGCTCTTTAAAAACATTTTTGAGTTATTATCTTTTTTATCATTTAGGAAAAGTCTAAAATCTTCGAGTCAGCATCTACATTAAAAGTATGCTGGCACTTAGCATTGCTTCAAAGGCAATCCCGAAAAGGGAGAAAGAAATAACCATTTTTGATTGTAAATAATAATAATATTCAAACATCATTATATCGCACGTCACTATTAATTTGGCTGAGTACACATTAAATCGTAATTGAATTAATGGTCGCGGATCTGTCATTGAAACAGTGAAAATTCAACTTCCTTATTTTATTTTATTTTTATTTTTTGCTTTACTCTAAAATATTTTCAAATCTAAATACAGTACATTACTACAATGCAAAATAATTATATTTTCAATATTTTACCAAAAAAACCAACATTTTTTACATGGGATATTTTTATTGATATATTCTAGTAGAATTTTGGTTTTAAAATTCAAAAAGTTTGTAAAAATATACTGGTCACTAAAAATTAGGTATGGAAGATTAATCTACAAAAGTTGTGGTGGGGAACTTAAGTAGAAGGGACGACGTTAATGTTCTTGAATTTCACTAAAGTTAGCTTACAGATCATTTTAAAAAACAATTAGCATACATAATGATTTAGGCCCATGTAGTGATGTAGAAGTTAACATTTCCATAAGCAGCTCAGGCCCAACACAATGATTATCTGTGTGTGTGTTCTGTTGAGAGAAAAGCCATAGATAGACCTTTTAAAAAGTTTCTTCTAAATTAATCACACTTCTCTGTTGTAGACTTGTAGTGTTGTTGTTAATGACCTAATGATGATTCATTGGGACTATGGGGAAAATGATAATCACACGATTTTTTTTTTTTTTTTTACTTTTCAGTATTTCGATTTAAATATATATATATATATATATATAAAGATGATATACAAAGTCATGACTCATGTTAGTACATTATTCTTCAAATTTTAATTTATTGATTATTTTAACAAGTGTGTAAAGATCACATAGATACACACTAACTGATTCTTAATATAGTCGTGAATTTCCTAAACCTCTAAATGTTTAGTAATTTTTAAAAAAGTGTAGCCGTACGTGTACCGTATACAACAAAAGTTGATGTACGGACTACAGATTTAAGGTTGCCAGCTGCAAACTCATGCTTTATTTTAATGAAGCCCACTAGTATTTTTATGCGAGAACTAGTTACTAGTTAGCTCATAGCTGTTGTACTGTGGTTTTCCCCAACTTCGTACGAAACGAAGGCACACATGCATGTGCCATAGATTTGCCAAATCAACATTGGTAGGCTTCTCTAGCCAATACTTGATTGCCACATCACTTGTCATGCGAGGTACTTTTCTTTTTTTTTTTCCAATTTTTTAGATCTCAACATTCCGACAAATAGTTTAACACCGTACCCTTCCGATCCATCTCCCAAACACTACATACGTAATTACGTACATAGATATGTGCATAAACAGATAAATAATACTACTATATAATTGACACAAATGCTATTTATAATCTTTATTCTAAATGGGAATTTAACCCAATTTCATCGTCACCTTGAATAATTTTGTAACACAGGTTTTTTTTCGATATAGCTTTTAATTAGCTGTTGACTTGTTATACAAGCTTTGATTTGACTATTATACATTTTTTTAAAATAAAATACTTCTATATATTTTTCTATCTAATTAATTGTAAAAATGTAAAAATGCATATTGTAAACGTTATAAACTTTAATAGTTACATAAAAACACCCAAAAGAAAATTGATTTGTACAAACTATTAACGATCAACCGCTATACTAACATCGTTGCAATGCTTCTTTTTTTTTTTGTTGGCAGTTACAATGCAATATATGTAAGACAAACAAGAAATCAAATAGCTGAAAATGATTTATGAAGATACACACAATTAGAATTTGTTCTACTTGGCGCGCACAGACTAGTGGATTATCCATTCAATTAATGTTGTGATATATGTATACAGTATTAATTTACAACTTTCAGTGTCAAATAGCCCTTAAGGTTAGGTTATGTATAGAAAGGGAAACAAAATTGAAACCTATAAATGAAGTTAAAGTTTGACCAAAAACTGAATACGTTTTAAAAGAGAACACCTCTTAATCGATGATTTTTCTTGGTGGACGTCTACTTAATTACAGCCATGATTTTAAATCATAAATGAAAATTTAACAAGAGGTTGATGATAAATTCGCAACTTTTAAAAGAAATGATTTAAAAAAAAAGAATTGATAAAGAAATGTTGTACTTTGATAAACAAATTCATAAAACGTAAACTAAAAAAAAAAGTGTGCGCCAAAATATCAGGGTGCATTGTCGACTGTGCAATTATCTTAAAAAAAAAAAAAAAAAAAATTTGGGTTTTTGGTCACCAAATAGATATAATTTCTGTAGTAATTTAGGGATGCTTGGACGTTTTGTTGCAACTCTCGGTACTTTATCTGATGGCTCCGTACGGTGCACACCAATCCATATACTCTTTATCAAATGACGAAACTAACCCGGTGCTTCTTCATAAATTACCTAATCAGTTTCCATACTCGCAAACTCATTTTTACATGGTGGAACGCAGAATAATCCTTTGTAGTAGTGTACCTTGATTAATACAAAAAATCAACTGATAGATATGTAATCATACAAAGTAAAGATATACTATATATTAGTCACACACAAAAAGGTTTGTAGTAGTTCTAAAATTGCGGTGGTCGAAATCAATAAATGTACCAACTCGTACGTTTCTTGGTAAAGGTTTGTATGACTTGTATAACCAAAACGTGCAATTCCGAAATTGATTTGAGATTACTTAATCTGATTCACAAACCAAACCGTACATTAAACGTGTGGGACGCACGTTTCTTTCTGTATTCTCTCTTGTTATTTTACTGTACTATTTTTCTTATATTGGCGGCCAGATTAAAACCCACAAAGGCGTTTCAGTTTCTGCATTTTCAGATTATTATTTGATTCGATTTATACTAAAATCAAGTTTCTTGATCAGCTAAAACAGTGATTATTAACGTGTAAATGAAAACTGGTATATGTATTTACAAAATCGAGAAAATGAAAACCGAAATTTGGGGAAAAAAAAGAAGAAAACAGAGAAAATGATAAAAATGGCCGATTTGGATAATTCGTGGTTGAAAGCTCTACTCAGTGGTAGTTTCAAGAATCATCAAGTCATCATCACCGGCAAGCAAAGAAGCTACGAGGTCCTGTATGTCGCCACCGGACTCTTCGAATCCTCCCAACCGGAGCGTTTCAACCACGCGCTCGAAGACGATGACGTGGCAAGGGATATGAAGAACACCTTTCTGAGCGTAACCGTATTCTTGAGCGGACCGGTTGAGCAAACCGACGAAGATCGGGTGGTTCATAAGCTCTGCGCTCACCACGAACCTCTCCATCTCTTCGCCCACGTAGACGGGCACGTGGCCGGCGGGGACGGTTGTGTTGACTCTTCTGGCCGGGCATATAGACCACGGAGGCGGCGCGTGGAGACGATGGTGACCGCGGCGGTTACGGAGGGATGAAGTTGAACGGCGGATGGAGAACTCGGATGATGAGTCGGCGACTCGAGAGAGGCGGCGGATGAGATGCTTCATTTTGACTCCGGCGGTTTTTAAAACAAATGAGAGATAAAAAATTTAAAAATGAGAGAGAGAGAGAGAGAGTGAGAAAGAGGTACAAGTACTAGTAGTAATCTTTATATATATACAGTAATTTGGAAAGTAATCTTTATATATACAGTAATCTTTATATACTATACTTATATTATAGAGAGAGATACAGAGAGAGAAGACATGTAAAGATTATGACGAGGGAACATTAGAGGAGATGATGGGTACATAAGCAAGTACTTGCCAGGTACAACAGCCGAGCCGATAACATTTTCACTTTATATTTTTCCATTTTTTTTATTATGTATTTTTTTCAATGTACTACAACAACTATACCATTTTTTTAAAAAAATAGTAACATATACCAACAACCCTACGTAAAACTATACTATCGCACAGTTTTATTGGACATATAAATTATCAAGTGAAATAAAGATTCACATAATTATTCTGCAATTAGCGTACTATGATGATGATAAACCTGAAATAAAGATTCACATAATTATCCTGCAATTAGCGTAATATGATGATGATAAACCTATCTCTTTCAAACATTATAATCATTATTATATTCCATGGTTTGAAACTTTTGTATTAATATTATTAACTGAAAAGAAAGTTAAATGATATATTTTAAGCTAGTGGAGTTTAAAACCAATCAATCGAAAATAGAAGTAGTCCGTGATATGATTTTGTTTAAAATCAGAATGGAGCATGATTAAACAAGTTGTTCTTACATCATTGAGGTCAAAGATGAAAGAAACTGGAAATGTTTTTGTGGTTGGTGGTGGTTCAGTAGACTTATAATAATCATAATAATAATTCAATGTAATTAAATAAAAATATTGTAAGTAAAATAATAAGGTTTTTTTATAGTTTACAGATGGTTGGATGAAATATCTGCGGCTAAGTTTAAGTTCAACATTTCTTATAAGAGTTACACGAAGAGTCGAAGACCACCCAAGTCAAAATAATAGTACATAAAAATCATATTAAGCGGGGCCCTTCGTTTTTTTGTCTGATCATATAAATATAGATTTTTTGGTTCATTATAATGACTTTGTTTCTTTGATAACTTTATGTATATAAACGTATAGAGTATGATTTGTTTGACGTTTTATCTCTCTCCATTGCCCGACATAATTTGCAAGTTCCTCAACAATTACAAAATACAATTTTTAGTTCTTTTAAACAAGAACTTCTTGTCTGCTAAACGTTATTCGCATGTCTTTGATCAAAACGTATACTTTCTTGTCTAAGAAAAAAACTCAAATAGTAACAAAAGTATAGTATAGACTATGTAAGCAAAAGACATGGAGGCATAAACCAGAAATAAAATAAAAAAACATCGACAAAGTTGAGAGTCACTCGACAAGTTGTTCACGACACTGCTTGTCCCCTTGCGTTTTGGATATTTACAATAAAAGCTTGTTACATAAACTAAAGAGACGCTATGTTTTTATTATACAGGAAAAAAAAAACATGAAACGACATTTTTATGACGATTTTTCAACAAATTCCATAAGTGATATTTCTTTTAGAAAAATGGGATGTGTTATTCATCAAATCCAAAAGAAAAAGAAAAAAAAAAGAGTGACGTGTAAATAAAGGTATTAAAAGAGTGGCAGGTGGGTTTGGTTGTACGGTCATTTATTCATACATACAGAATGTGACCCACCAACTCTCTGCCTGTCCTTCTTTTTTTTTTCTCTCTTTAACTCCTCTCAGTACGTACGGACCCTTTCTTAATATTTAACCAATTTATTTATAAGACATTAATAATATCTTAAACCTGACGTGACGAAAACACACAAGAATATAAAAACATTTATATCTCACATCTCAAGAAAACAAATCTTAAAGCAAAACAAGTGATGAGGCCCTATCGGTTCGGCCCAATATTATAAGGGTTTTAACTTGGGCCGTTCCAAGGATGAAGGTCCATTCTTCGGACTTTAGTTTTCCGTAGTATTCATTTGTGGTGTATTATTCACTATATACAGTATGTATAATTAACTGAAACTGATTTGCATTCGATAATTTAACTGGACTATAATGTATGGGAAGTTTTGAAATAAACTACAAATATATTAAATGTGTGAAGAGGAAAATAAACATAATTAACTTGGGCGATTAGAGAACATTACTGGATACAAATCGATCATTTTAAAACCGGTCTATATATGTTAGTACTTAGTAGGATCCACATCGAGCTTGATAAGACTGTCTTACACTCTTACTAATAAGAGTGCTAGACCATCATTATTAATTAGTTGGCATTCATTTTTTTTTTTGTATCTGACTGCCGCAGACTAATTAATACACTATGAACTGTCAAAATACAACATTTTCTTCGTCCTACTACACTATACTGTATACTACGACTCTACGAGAGTATTCTACAAGACCACAAAGCTAAATATACAAATCACTGTTCTATAAGAGATCCTGTCTTATATAACCAAATCAAGCTCTACTTCTTTGAAAAAAGAAAAATGACAAGTAAAGGAACTTATTGATAGTGATGATGAGGTGACTACTGGCATATGTTTTGCTTTTAACATCGTTATTATTAGAGATATAACGACAATCAAGTACATATATAAATACAGAAATAACTAGAAAACAATATCAGCGATATCTTTGATTGCAGATTCTAAAAAAAGACCAGAGAAAGTTACATTAAAATCTCCCTGAGCTTGTTCTTTATCAGTTAACCTCAAAAGCGATATTGCTGTTCCGGGCACGCCAACTTGATTCTCTGCTGATATATTTTGAAAAATATCGAAGAATCTGAGAAAGACAAAAACAACCAGAGCAAGAAGATAACATATCCGAGATGCGTTGAAGAACAAGTGATAAGCTGCAACTTGAAGACAATACATCTTTTTTATTTTCTTTGTTTTTGGCAGAAGAAGATGATGATGTTTGTTTTCTCTTCTTAGCATCGAGATGTGTGTATATATAATATGGTACCACTGGTATACGTGTGTGTGATTTTGTGTATGTAAATCGCATGGACGCGTGTTTCTATCTATACGCACACATACAATCAGACATACTCGACGACACCACTCTGGTCCGGACAATGCAATAAATGCTCAAAGTCGATACTTGTCTCTCAAACGATTTGGTACTTGGTAGTAGTATAGTCCGATTTCATTAGTATACCGGGAGATACAACCGAATTGTTAGAGATTAAAACCCGGTCAGTTGTTCTAATCGTCTGAATAATTAATGCAAACCGGAAAGAACCGGTTATGTGATTGTACATTGAAGGAAATTGAATACATGAAGATTGATGATATGCACTTGAATACGTGTCTGGTGATTCAGCTCAACTGCATTAGATGTGACATCTCAACTTCGTAACTAGAAAATGTTGAAACCTTTATTATTGGCAATTCTAACTTTCAGGACTTTATTATTTATATTTTATATTACCCCAATAGGCCAATATGGTATATTTATATACTTATATTTTCAACACCACATATATAATAAATGCAATTTCACGTCATTATATGTCTTTTTGAAATGTAGGACCAAAAATGCACTATCAATTTTTTTTTTTTTTTTTGGAAATATGAGATTTCGAGAAACTATAAAATGTTTTTATATTATCCATGGTTTGGAGGGAAAAGTAATCAAAAAGTGTATTTCTTAAAATTCAAACAAGAAAAATTCAAAAACAGAGACAGGAAAAAGATATACGGCCAATGAGAAAATGACAAGTGTAAAGGGTTTTTAGTTTTCGTCTTTTCGATTTTCTACTAGCCTTCTGCAACAACAGCAGGCAATCGGACAATTTCAGAGCTGAAAACCCTAATCTTCTCGGGGGTTGTCATCTCCAAAATCTAGGGTTCAATCTCTAACCATACAAGGTACTTCCTTATATCTCCGGCGCCGAAGGGGCATTCTGGTGGCGGTGAAATGGGAGACGACCAGCTGGATTTCGAGCTTCCCGAGGAGGTTCTGTCGGTGATTCCGATGGACCCTTTTGAGCAGCTGGATCTCGCTAGAAAGATTACGTCGATGGCGATAGCTTCTAGGGTGTCGAATCTGGACTCTGAGGTGGTGGAATTGAGGCAGAAGCTTGTGGATAAGGATAACGCTGTGCGTGAGCTTGAGGACAAGGCTTCTCGCCTTGAGAGAGATTGCCGCGAGGCTGATTCGAGATTGAAGATTGTCCTCGAGGATAACGTGAGTATCCAATTCTGTCGTTTATAAGCTCCTTTGCTTGTGCATTTTAGGTTTCGGAATTTGGTTAGTATTGGCTAGTTTTATTTGCCGAGATAGTTGCTTATTGATGGAGACAGAGTGTTCAGAATGATTCCGGATTTCTTGGTGTTACAGGATACTTCTATATTTGGGAACAATTTTGTGTGGTTGATTTGAAAATTTGTTGTATTTGGTTTGAATTTTGATGTTCAGACTTCAGAATGCTGTATAAATCTGAGGGATGAGGGATTAAGCTTGGTTTGCTGAAGTGGTAAATTGGTAGTTTATATATTCAGCTGTAGTCTGTGTGTTGAGATTTATATGCTCTTCTCCAAATCAGTGAATGAAAAATCTGGTGCCACTCTCTATAAGACTGTAACAATTTGAGGATTTTTTTTCTAATTTTCTGTGAACTGTCTTCCTTTTCTGCTAAAGATGAACCTGACAAAGGAGAAGGATTCACTGGCAATGACTGTAACAAAACTCACTCGTGATTTGGCTAAGGTGAGAATTTTGCTTCGTTTTCTGATGCATGTTTGATTTTCTTTTGTTAGAGAGTTGCACATCATATACTTTAAGAGTTAATGTTTCTACTTTTAGTTGGAGACATTCAAGCGGCAGTTAATCAAATCCCTGAGCGACGAGAGTGGGCCGGTAAGAGATTCAAGTTTTTGTTATTACACATATCTTTTCTTGTTTTATATTTCTAGTGTACTCCAGGGATGACATATAGCATTTCCTGCTATTTCTCTCCATCTTGCACTCTTCTGGCCTCTGTTTTAAGAAAATGATGGTTTGCTTCTTCTCCATTTGTTATTACAGCAAACAGAACCTGTTGACATTAGAACATGTGACCAGCCAATCCCTGGATCATACCCAGGCAAAGGTACTGCATCAATATTCAATTGCGAATTAAAGAATTGTCTTATTTTGGTCTATCTGTGAGCTAATTATCTTTCAAACATGCAGATGAAAGGACCCATGCACACTCAACAAACCATTCTTACAGTGGATCTACAGACATGACCAATCCAGTTGTCGAAGGTAAACACACCGAATCAAATATCTGTTGTTATGCTTTTATCTTTATGCTGCAACTGAAGAACAACATACGAGTTTTTAATTTGCAGCTTCAAAATACACTGGGAACAAATTTTCAATGACACCATACATCTCTCCACGTCTTACACCAACCGCAACACCAAAGATCATCTCCACAAGTGTATCCCCTCGAGGCTATTCTGCAGCGGGTTCTCCTAAAAGGACATCAGGTGCGGTTTCTCCCACAAAGGCAACACTCTGGTATCCGTCAAGTCAGCAATCATCAGCTGCAAATTCTCCTCCTCGCAACCGCACACTCCCAGGTTCATAGGATCTTAATGATTTTTGCTTTCTATAAATAGGTAAAGCTCAAGTATATGCTTCTCTCATATATATTAATGTATAAAACACTTTTCCAGCTCGTACGCCTCGGATGGATGGTAAAGAATTTTTCCGGCAAGCCAGGTGAGGCCTTTCTTCAGTTTTTGTACTATCTAGTGTCAGATTTATCATTATTCACAATTTCAAATTGTTAATCTTTCCATTCATCATTCTCAGGAGCCGATTATCCTACGAACAATTCAGTTCCTTCTTAGCTAACATCAAGGAGCTCAACGCCCAAAAGCAAACACGAGAGGTAAAAAACTGTTGTAGTTTGTGCGACATTTTCTTTTGCCTCTCGGTACTGTCCAGATTACAATAGTTGATGCTTTAAACAGGAAACTCTGAGGAAAGCAGACGAGATATTTGGGGAAGATAACAAAGATCTCTATTTATCTTTCCAAGGCCTCCTTAACAGAAACATGCGTTAAAACTCATCATCTTGAATCCTGGCAAATGTGATAGGATCATAACTAGCCATTGTAGTATGTGTATTCTCGATGGGTTTTAGTGACATGCAAATTGTGATTTGTGCTTTACCAAAAGAAAAGAAATATCTCGTTTTGGAAAGTGTTGTGTTTCTTTCTTTTAATATATATATATATCTCGCTTTGGTCCTAAATTCATTTTGCTAGATTTTTCTGCTTTGAAATTTAATATTGAAGTTTTATAAACTGAAGTAAAATATAAACCTACATATCAATATGTAACACATATATTTTCTATTTTATTTAGAAATTGTTTGTTCATACAGCAATATTTAAAGCATTATTATATAAAAGTATTTATAAATATGCGAAATTTTTATTATCACAATCCTGTTTTACATCAATATGCTTTTCTCTTTTCTTACTTTCACAACATTATTTTAGTTGCTCTACTTGATCGATAATCTAGACAACTACTATAAATTAATATAATCGTCTACTTATCTTGTTCATATTATATACACACATCTTGTAACTGATATAGATTTAACTATTGCAAAGATAGAGTAGGTAGTAATAAATTAACGCTAGCAAGACCAAAGGGAGTCTCCGGCACCAACCTCATAGACAAAAGCCATGTCAACATCACTAGAGAAGTCTTTGATCGTCGGAAAAGCAACGGTGCTCGCTGTGTACGGCGGAGGTTTGGTGTCATTGTCAATACGGCAGAGCGTCGACCTTATATGAATCAACTCGGCCTGAGCAAAAGCGAGCTGAGTTTGGAGAGCCTCGAGTTGTCTGTGTAATGACGAAATCGTCCCAACACATCCGTACACTGGATCTTGCACCCTTGCGTTGGCCTCGTACACCATAGAATTCACGGCGTCGCTCCGTTGGTTCTCCGCCAGCTCCTACGATCGTTAGATTAATAAACTTAACTAGGACCAGATATCTTTGAATATTTACTGGAAGTTTTATTGATGAATCTAATGATATACTATTTCCATGGTATTTGTGTTATAAAAATTATGTTTGAAACAAATGATGTGTTTGTTTATTTGTATGTAATGATTTTGATTTTGTAAATGATATGATATAGTAATATTCAATAGTAAGAAGTCGCTATTAGACATGGGTGAATGATTCACCGCGTCAATACTTTGTCATAAGATAAGATATACTGTCACGATTTGGCCTTTTAACGTGACATGCAATATAGACTTTTGATATGAAACTAGAAAGTGACTTCCTTACACTATTCTTACACGCGGTTTCGATACTTTCCAAAACTAACAAAACCAAAATCTTAGAAAAATAAATAAATATCTATATCTTCACATCGAAAAGATTGAAAAACCCCGCTAAAAACTTCAAGAATTATTTAACAAAAAAAACAATAACTTCAAGAATCAAAAATAAATTACAGAATTTAATAACCTTAATAATCACCCAAACTTATTTAAAATGTGAACACTAGCTAGTAGCTAGGTAAGATTCATACAAATGATCCCACTACTGACAATTAAAATTCTCTTTTCTTTTGCAAAAAAAAAAAAAGATTTATACAAATTCCTTTTATACAAACTAGGGCTGTCAGCCCGTGCGTTACCGCACGGGGAAATGAAAACTTAAAATAATTAACATTGTTAAATAACTTTTTCGAGTGGAAAATTGATTATAACCTTCTAACTGTATATATATTTTTTAAATTTACGAATTTATTTTCTTTACCTTTTCTATATTATGATATATTAGATTTGTGAGACTAAGAAAACTTTCTTACAATTTTAATTTAATCCCTAAAATGATAATTTTTTTTCTGGTATCGCTGCATTTTAATACTGATGATCCTAAAGCGTCAAAAGAATTCAATATTTATGAATGGCCATTTGTTAATCTTAACGTACCCCTTCTTTTGCTTTATTTAAAAAACAAAGCTGTCAACGAAATTATGAAATGAACTTCTAGCTACTGCCCTTAAAAAAATATCAAAGATTCATGCATTTTCCTTTTACAAATTCTAAGAAACTTTTTGGATACAAAGCTCAACTATTTCTATCATAATACATGTTTTAATCACCAACGAATCATTAGTCCCATAAAACTAATGATACAACTCTACAGATTCAACCAAATTCAACATAACATTATAGGAACATAAGCAATACCTAAAGAAACATCAATGAGAAAGAATATGCTTCAATTTAAGAAAAAAAAGTTTTACAATGACAAATTATTGTCAATTAGATTTAAAAGAACATATATTTGGTGTTTTGGTGAGGCATCTACAGATGGCACGACTTTTCATAGGACAAAGATCAACATGAAGTAACTTCTTCTTCTTGTATGCTTATGTTATATCAATCTTATGCTTTTATCAAAACATGAGCTATAAATTTAAGGGCGATCTTGCTGCAAATTACATTTCACAAATCACAATATATATTAGAAGCATATCCAATTGTATCTACATATAGAATTCAACTATAAATACCAACGAATATTGTTGTATCAAAACATCAACCTATAATTAATAATAGTAGATAAATAAAGAAATAAAACACAACAGTTTGAAACAATGATTTGTAACTGATTCTTGTAGAAATTTAGAAGTATAATTAAACAATAAAATTTTAGTGAAGTCACTAATCATACAATAAAAACGGGAGTAGAAATTATAAGTTTAAAGGCTTATCAAAATATAAAATAAAATGAGGAAGATGAAATAAAACAAACCTGATGATGTTTGAGTGTAAAT